AGAGAGAGAGAGAGAGAGAGAGAGAGAGAGAAAGAGAGAGAGAGAGAGGGAGAGGGAGAGAGAGGGGGGAGGGTGGGGAAAGCAGATGACAGAACATGATTAGAGAACGGGAGAAGCTGGCAAAGGAGTACCGTTTTATTTTTTTTATTTTTTTTTTTGGGTGATCGCTGGCGGGATTCGATCCCGACGCCTTTTGTCTGAGAGGCGAACACCGATCCTCTAAACCAGGATAGCCCATGGTCAGCTCTTGATTTGACAAAAAAAACAACAATACATAGCATTTGTATAGTGCAAAATCCCACTCAACAGCAAGTACTATGCGCTTCACAATCCATACTATTGCTCCAGCTGGTCTGGTAACATTTTGAAACATATCTCAAACTTCCTGTGAAGCAAACAGTGCAACATAATAATGTGTCTGCTCCATCCATACAGAGCAAGCAAGGGTCTTACCCTTGGAGGAACTATTAATTACTCTAAGGTCTTACCAATGGGCTTACAGCATTCTATAAATAACCTTCTCGTTACAGAGTTAACGATATGTTCGTTAGTCACCACTATGAGGAGTGTGGTTTGGTTACTACATGTGTTACGTAAACCTCTTCAGAATCGAGTGGTATTTTCTTGCGCATCGACTTGAGTGAAGATGTCGCGGTCGAGGCTTTCTCAGATACCTGAGCCAGCCGAGTAGACTGCTATCTGTTCAACGTTGAGAAAGACTCGCTTGTTGGTTTAACCCTATATGTACGTCGTGTTTTACTATCGTATCCTTACGACGTGGGGAATTCTGTGCCCCCACTTTCCAAAGAGGAAATTTACTCGTTAATCCTGTCCGTACGCTTTGCATAGCAGTCTGCCAAAATGATTTTTTGAGAAATGCTGAAAGTTTCAAAGAGATCTTCGCACAAGAAGTATTCTAAAATGTGAAGAATACAACCCCTGGGGTACAAAATGACCCAGGGTTGGTGTTTTCAGTATTTAAGAAATATATGGGTTTCGATCCGGAAGCATGTAATATTATAACCGCCAAATTA